CGCCCACCTCCCTGCTGCTGTGCTCCCAGCAGAGGGGTTCCAGCCCTCTGGAACTTCATGAGAACATCAGCCCTGCCAGCAGCCTGGCTTTGCATCCTAGCTCCATGCTGAGCTCTTTCTGGTCTCTCACTTGCCAGCCAGGTTTGGAGCAGCTCCAGCTTTCCTCCCCTTCCTCTTCACACCTGGAGAAGCTTTTTTAGCTGCCCATATAAAAAGCTCTTCCCCTTGGCAGTGGTACTGCCACAGGAGAAGCTTTCTCTTGTCTCCGTTAGAGGACCTCTGGCCAGGTGGAACTGCTCACTGGCTGTGCAAGAGCTTTCCCAGAGAGGTGGTCGCTGCCCCATCCCTGGCACCATCCCAGGGGAGGTTGGATGAGCTCTGAGCACCCTGCTCTAGCTGCAGATGTCCCTGTCCCTGCAGGGGGGTTGGACTGGGTGACCTTTGACAGGTCCCTTCCCCCCCAAACCAGTCTGGGGTTCTGGGATTCTGGGATTCTGTGCGTGGGTGGTCGGCTGAGGAGCTGAGTCAGGGATCCTGTCCCCCACACTGCCTCCCAGCACCCTGCCCCCCAGGTGCTGGAGACTCAGCACCCCTCAGAATGTGGCACGGGCACATGTCTGCCATGGTGGAGAACGTTCATCTGCCCCAGGAGGGAGGTTCTCCCCCTCCTCTGCTCATGTCACAAGAGTCACAACATCCCAGTGTGGAGAGGTGGGAAGGGACCTCTGGGGATCATCCCATCCCACCCCTGCTCCAGCAGCTCACCCCCAGCAGGGTGCCCAGGGGCACAGCCAGGAGGGTTTGGGATCTCTCCAGAGCAGGAGACTCCACAGCCTCTCTGGGCAGCCTGGGCCAGGCTCTGCCACCCTCCCAGCAGAGAAGTTTCTCCTTTGTGCTTTTCTGCAGCTCTTCCTTCATGGCATCATCTCTAAAGCCTGGAGGCCATAGAATCTTGAAATCATTCAGGTTGGAAGAGACCTTTAAGGTCAAATCCAACCACCCCCAGCCCTGCCAGGTCCCCACTGCCCCGTGTCCCTCACCCCACATCTCCACGGCTTGGGAACCCCTCCAGGGGGGGGGACTCCACCACTGCCCTGGGCAGCCTGGCACAGCCCTGGGACACCCTCCAGGGCAAGAAATTGTTCCTCAGCCCCAACCCTAACCGCCTTTGGGGCAATTTGAGGCCATTTTCTCTCCTCACTCATCCCTGGGGAGATGACACCAACGCCCCTCTCACCAACGGCGTCCTCAATGCCACCGAAGGACGCGCTCAGGAGCCTGGTGGAGCAGAGGAGGACCTCTGAGAGAGGTGGGGCAGGTCCAGCCTGGGCTGTTTCTCACCCTTGTCTCCTCATTCTCCTGTCTGCAGGGAGGAGGTGAACAAGGCCTACAGGAAGCTGGCCGTGCTGCTGCACCCTGACAAGTGCGTGGCGCCCGGCAGCGAGGACGCCTTCAAAGCCCTGGTCAACGCCCGCACCGCCCTCCTCAAGAACATCAAGTAGGGCCACAAACCTCCCCCTGGAGCTGGAAACCTTCCCCTCTTCCCAGCCAGCTATCTCTGGACACCCCATCTGCTCCTCAGGCTCCCCACTGGCACGGACACACGCTCCCAGCTTCTGAGCTGAGGGTGGGAGAGGGACCCCCGAGCTCTCCTTGGGTGGTAGGGGTGCTGCAAGCAGTGAGGTCCTCCCTTTTCTGGGAGGTACCAGGGAGAAGCTGGCTCCAGGAGTGTCCTTTTCCCCCCTTGCTCCCATCTTGGGGCCAGGATTGGTCCCTCTGGCAAGACCAGGGCTGCCCCCAGGCACCCACCTCCTCCCTACAGCACAGACCCCCTGCCACCATCCCCCCCCCTCCCCCACCCCCCTCCTTCCACCCCCCTGAGCTCTTCTCCTGGGGAAGAGCCCCACACCAGCTGCCTTCCCTCAAGCCACGTGCTCCCTGTCTCTCAACCCTCAGGTCGTGCTGGTGACCTACTGGGGAGGTGCCACCAGTCCCCAGGGCTGGGTGGGCCCTGGCTGCTTGCAGGCAGGAGGAGGGTGCCAACAGCACCAACACCTCACCCTGGCTGGGTTGTGGGTTGCTCCCTCTTAGTCCCACCCCCCATTTTCCTTCAATACTCTTGTTGATTTAGAGGAAACTGGTTCTGGTCACCCCAACAAGTGCTTGCTTAAGGTCTGGCTGTTGGGTTCCTGAGAGAGGGCAGAGCTGGGAGAGCTGCCAGGCTCTTGGAGGAGAGCAAACAGGAGGTTCCTTGGGCTCCTGTGCCTTGGTCAGGACCCATTTTGATCTCCTTGCTGCAGTTTGGGCTTGTCAGGGAACATGAGGACAACCAGCCAGGGGCTGAAGGCCACCAAGTGCTTGCAGCCACGTCCTCACCCCACCCCACAGGTGTCCTCTTCCAAAGTGTTTTCTCCTATGGCCAGTGCAATATTTTTGGGGTGGATTTTTCACTTCAAGGCAGCTTTTCAAAGTTTCCCTTTCCAAATATATCATAACTCTCCAGTAGATCCCCTCCCTCCCCCTTCTTTGGGGTCTCCAAAGCCAGTGATCATTTTGCTCTCACTCTGGGAAGCAGGAGGCCTGTTCAGAAGCTCTGTTTGCTCCTGGGGTACAGAACTAACCAAGGGGAGCTGTTGCTCCAAGAGGGTGATGTATAAATAGCTCCATGTTGCCTCTCCCAGATGCAGAGAGAGGCTGGTGGAGCTCAGGCCTTGGAGCTGGGACAAGTTCCACCAACAGGGTCTTGTTCCACACGTTCTGTGGAGTTCACTGGACGTTTTCCTCAGTTCCTGCTGCTCAGGGGCTCTCCAGGTCCCTCCTGTTTGCTCCTCAGGTGAGTGGCCACTGGTCTTGGGCTTTCTTTTGGCTGTTGGCAGAGCTGCCCAGATGTCTGGAGGTGGTTACCCACCCGTGTCACCTCTAGGAACACTGGTGACCTTCTGAGTTGTGTTATTTTTATAAATTAAACCCTTCTTTGGGACAAAGGAAGCCCTGAGAGCTGTGGTGAGGGCATGCTGTTAATGTTTAATTGCCCTGTGACTCATTTCTCTCCTCCCAAGGCGGGTCTGGCCGAGGCTGGGGGTGAAGACCTGCCCTCCAAGGGGGGGGGGATGGAGGTTGGGAAGCAACTCTGCAGGAGCTGGAGCTGGGTAAGGGCTCAGGGGAAGAGCTGGGATACACCCAACTGTGGTGGAGCCTGGATCTGCTCAGGGGAGCCACGCTGGGAGGTCCATCCTTGCTCTGTGCACCAGCAGCCCGGGTGCTGTGCATCCTTCAGGCCATCTTCATAAGGACCCCCAGATCCTTCAGGGTCACTGGCCTCTGAGTGCCACGTCCTCCTGCCAGGGTTGGCCAGCTCAAGCCCTTTCCCACTCCCAGCAGGTGGAGAATAACCCTGAGCAGGCCCCAAACCTCTGGGGAGTCGTGGCTTGGGTGCCCTCATCCTTAATTACTGCACAGAAGCAATTGCTTCCCCTGGCAAAGCAGCTGAGATGGCCTCAAGAGAGAGCTGTGGGGTGAGGACACGTGGGGACGGGGTCCCTCCAGCCATGCAGCAGCTCAGAGGGGCTGAGCCTGGTTCTCCTGGCCATCAGGGAGGGCTCCTCAGAGCGTGGTCTCCATCAGCTCTCCACCACAACCCATCTTCCACATCCAGGGGTGCAGGTGGTGGCTGAAACATGGAGAGGAAGAGGAGGAACTCTCTGAAGAGGTTTCAGTGGAGGATCAGCCCCGTTGGGGGGGGTTTGGGG